CGGGGAATGTTATGAAGGTCCAAAAAATTTGAACTTTGATTCTAGCCATCTACATCCACCCTTCTTAAAATGAGAAATGTTTTTATACTTTCTCTACGGTATGAAAGTTTTATACTTCCCCATCCAACCGTCCAATTTAAATCAAATAAGCCATTGACTGTTTCATCTAGATCTGATATCTCAGAGTATTTTATTTTTAGTTTTCATTCTACAATTATATGAATATGAAATTTGACACGTGCCATCGTGCCATCATCTCAATAGGGTGCACCTAAATTTTGTTTTTTTGAATAAAATATAACAACCAAAATACCCCTGAAAGTTTAACGGTTGTTTTGGTCATTTTATTTTAGAGCAAATATTTTTATTTTTATTTTTTTTTGCACGATCTTAAGAGAGCGGTGGACACTTAAAATTTAGTGTCAAATTCTTTTATAGAAAACATAAGATAAAATAGTGGAGAGGCATGACATTGTAAACGGATCCATCTCATCCTTTGATTCAAATCTGACCGTCAGATGAGGGGGAAGTATATAACTACTATACATTAGGGGAAGTAAAAAATGCTTGCCCTTTTAAAATCTGATGGATAAGACTAATCGTGACCTCCTTATACCAAAAGCATGGTTAGCAATTCGGCGAATAATAAAATATTGACAAGCCAAACCATTGGTAATAAATTGGATTTTTTTTTCAAAAAGTCAGAGAAAAATTCAGGTAAAAAATATAGATCCCCAAAAAATAAGAAGTTATAGAATCATGAATATTTTAGATTTGGTTAAAAAAACAGTAGTGGAAAAATCAAATATATAAAAATGACACAATGCATGATTATGATTTGCAGCTATTGTATAAATATATTAATGCCATTAAACAATAATTTTATTGCCCTACTAGTGTTATTAGAGTAATACTTGACAATGCTTTGTTGAAACTCCAATAAATGCAGCAACAATGCTTACTCTATTGTCACAACATAAAATATATCGTAGGTTTATTGGGAACATAAAATGAAACAACAACATCAATGCTAAATGCAAGAATTAGCAAATAACTATGAACCAAGGTATACGATTATTTTTCAAAGAAAAAAAACCAAAGAATGCCTTCAATTTAGGATTGCAGCTAATTAAAAGAAATGCAAATATCCAAATATATAAAATAGTAGTCCAAGCAAGATTCTATGTTGTATACACCAATGAAATAAATATTTAAAAGTAAAATATGAAATTAATCAAACATCTCTATGCATAAAAAAGCAACAAAATGCTCAAGCAGATTCGAATCTCTCATTGAATTCCTAGCTACCTAATCCTTTAGTATCGTTGAATCTCTCTATTGATTTTTATAAGGACACTTTGGGTTTAAAGAAAAACAATATGTTTCATTGGATTACTCTTCTTCTAATTCAACTTAGTATTTTCAGGTATACAATTTTTTTTATTTACATTTTTTGGTGAACATATTGCATTTATATTTTCGGATACTTTTTTTCTAGGGTAACTCATTAATGAAATTTTTAGTTAAATTGAGATTCTTAATTTACTCCTGATGTTTAAATCAAAATTCAAAAATATTAAGTTATTGTTGAAATATAAATAATAGGGAAGAAGTTTTTTTGAAAACTGGCAGATCATAAACACCCACCCCTGCGATAACACTTTTGGAGAAAATTACAAACCTTAACAAATATAGTAATTATTATATTTGTACTATATGGTATAGTGTAATATATAAATTATTTAATTATATACAATATTATTATATTATATTTATATAATATAATATATTAAAAAATATTATATATAATATGATAATATATTATTATATTTTAATAATATTATATAATATTAATATATTATAACATAATAATATAATATTATATTACTATAATATAATGTAATATACATGTACAAGATAAATGGTCTCTTTGTAGACAATCCCATATTATAAATATTGTAATCAGTTATGTTAGGGTGCTCACACTATAGAACATTTTATAATTGTACTCCCCAAATTTTGGACACTTGTATATCTTTGTTTTGACATTTAATAATTATTTTGTAAGATTACTTTTGATCATTATGAAGGGTGTGACATTATCCACATTGGGTGTAGCATCTACCACATGAACCATTAAATGCCACTAGTGTTTTTATATAGGTGATGTCACACGCCATGTGGATGATGCCACACCCTCTCCTAATGACCAAAAAATACCATTGCTAAACACATGCTCCAACTACAAAACAAAGGTAAATAGTATCCAAAATCTGTCGAGTATAATTTTAAAATGCTGTATAGTGTGACCACCCTAACATAAACCATAATATATATACTAACTTTCCCAATGATGAACAGGTGAAATAACATCACTACAAATTTATCAAACAGGTCCCCAATTTTCAGGCTACTAATTTTCATCTGCTTCTTAGAATCTAAGAACGTAGGCTACTAATTTTCATCTGCTTCTTAGAATCTAAGAACGTTAGCAACAGGGGGAATCTCAGAGAAACTCCAAAAAATGTTGTCAAAATGCACCCTTGATACCCACCGTTGCCTTCATTTCGGTAAGTTATGCGCTTATTTTAATAATATAAGGAATTTTTCTTTTATTGCTATCATTTCATGAGATGGTGCCATTCTATAGATACTGAAAATTAAAAGATACTGTAGCCTTATTTGTTTATAACATCTTTTGCTAAGTTTTAGTATTTCCTCCGAGTTACATGGGTTATTTCTCGAGTTTTTACCATTTCTCCCTTTTTTTTCACATATTTAATATTTAAAATTATGTTTTTCTTCTCACCAATGTATTTTCCGAGTTACATGAGTTATTTCTCGAGTTTTTACCATTTCTCCCGTGCTTTTTCACATATTTCATATTTAAAATTATGTTTTTCTTCTCATCAATGTATTTGCCAGGATATAGTTATGTGAAGATGGTGGATGTACATCAACCAATGTCCTTGAGATCATGCTCTTTATCCTTTCAATCAAATAGCCCAGTTTCAATTAATGTTAATAGTATTGGGTGAATGTGGTCATTAAAGGCCTTATGAGTGCTTGTAAAATGAAATGATATAATGGAACATGAACTTAGTGGAAGTGTTGTCCCTCGTGGATTATATTATGCAAAAGATGTTTTTTGATATCGAACTGTGCTTGACGGTTGGGAAAAACCTGTGTTACCTGGGCATAGAAAATTAACCAACAAGGGTTTTAATAGGTTATCCCTTGATGAGGTCAGAGTATGCCCGAATAAGTAAGCCGAAGGACTGCGTGACCCTTGTGTGTGATGGTGGCCTTCAGAGACGAGGGCCAAAGCCTCATCTATGTACTATCATACATCATGCATAATGATAGGCCATTTTGGAAATGCGAACCACCTTTTAGGGTGAAGCTTATACATGTGCGAGAGATACCCATATACGTCATAGGAGCTGTGGTCGCGTCAGGTCTTGTGACCTTGATACGTCTCTAGGGGAGAACCTGAAATCCATAGACTGGGATTGCGACCCTTTAGCTCATTGGCCAGATTGGGGTGACCTACTAATGAGCCCATGCATTAACTGTGGGTCATGGAAAACACTGGATCGGTTGATAAAGCAGGTGTGGACTGTAATCCATAGTTGAAGGTAAAGTGCCCTAGATTATTTATTTCAAGATAATATGGATCCTTATCACATCTAATGAATTTAATTGTATATATTTTATGATAATATGATTTTAGAATTATTTTTTTAATTTTTTTAGATTTCTAGATATTTTATTTATAAAATTTGGATTCATAAAAAAAGATATTGATTTTTAATATTTTAAATATTCAAATTAATTTTAAAATCATTTATTGATTTTTAAATATTTAAAAGTAGCATTAGGGCTTTGTGCACATGGGCTTACCATGCCCTAAATTGGTGAGAACAACAAAGCCACCACATCGGTAGCCAATTTTTGGGGCTTTTGATTCCCATAGGGTGGCACACCTCACTTTTAGGAGGTTTCCTATCTTTTATGAGATCAGTGGTTAAAGTAGATTTAAGTGAATCTTTTAAAAGGGGCATATGTATTTTTTAATAAAACACAACATTATGATTAATATTATTTTATTTGATTTATATTGATGGGATAATGGTCAAAGGAAAAAGGGGATAAAGGTTCTATTACATTTCATAATGTTGATAGCCTATCTATATAATAGATGGCTCAAATCTCTCATCCCACAAGTCACTCAAGATCAATGGTTCATATTCATTCTCACAAAAAAGAAACAAGTCTAAGGAAAACCCTAAGAAACGCTAATATTGCTTAAAGCCTATTAAAAGAGATTGTTTGTACTCAAAATCTCTACACCTTATCTTTCTATCTCTCTCATAAGAAAATTTTTTATCTCCCTCATGAAAGCCTAAAAGGGATACGCCCCACTCTCTCATCTTTGATTTCTCTCTCTCCCACATTATAAAAAGATGACAAGGGTTTAGGCTATGGGGTTATTCTCTCTTCATCTCTCAGCTATGGATTTATGGATAAGGGTTTTAGGATATAGTAAAAAAAAAAGAATTAGTCTCTTTCAAACTAGGTCCCTAAGGGAATTCATCTAGCGTTTGAGTTTGTGATCAAAGGGGTTCATGTTCTATTGGTGTGACTTGGCCTAAGCTTGCTTTCCCTGTTGAGATTTAAGGTTGATCATTGATCGGTGGCGACTCGGTGTGGAGTGTAACAAGCCCGGTTGAGGTAATCTTTGACACTCCCTTTTAATTTCTTGTTATATTTAATTATATTGGTTTTATATTCAGAAGTATAAGAATTGTATATATTTTCTTTCTTTAAAGAAAATTGATTTAATGCTATCAAGGTTTTTAAGATCTTAGATTTGTTAGTTTAATTTTCTTTGAAGCAAAAGTTATTGTAACAAGCCTAATTGTAAGTGATTTTTGCCAAAAGAAAAAGAAAAGAAAAGGGGTGAAAAAAAGAAAAATAAAAAATATATATTTCCCATCAAGATCACAAAAAATAAAAAATACATATTTCTCAGCAAGATCACATTAGTCTATCTTTCAAATAGGCCATTTCTCACTATTCTAAATAATTAATTAAATCCTAATCCCAAGATGGAAACTATCGCATAATATGATGCTAAGGCATCATCTGTTTTATTATGAAAGGTGTGGTACTTCTTAACTGTAAAGTTCCTCTGAGAGTTTATGTCCTTATTTGAAACACAAGACCACAAACAGGTATGATCTTTCTTCTAACCATTATAGGGCCTTTGGTTATAGCAATCAAGGTTGTCACCATAGGGCACACCCATGAGGTCACAATAGCGCTTATAGAATCCAATTCTATCAGCCACCCTGTCATCGCTTCCATGGCCACATTCCAAGCCACCATTGATGATATTGGTGATGACACCGTACCCAGGGACCCTACCAGCCGAGCGGTCCGCAGCTGAAGGTGTCCATAAACAGGTGATGATGTCATGCGCCGAGGGCTTCGGAGACTGTGGCGTCATCCAAAACCAAAAGGCAGTCTTGAATGAGGTGACAGCGTCAGTGGCCACGGCGTCTGGGTTGTTGATACCATTGAAGCCTATTGCTCTCCCAGCCTGACCATAGTTATAGTTCCTGCACCAAAACGTAGAGACAATACCTCATAAGTAAATGTAAGGTATGCCCGGATTAAAAAGAGAGGCAAATAATCAAATAAATTAGTGATGGTGTAGACAGTGTCTGGTATGAAGTAAACCTACTACAATCACTGTCTCTCCTCAACAAACGACAGTGTGGGTACCACTAGATCTGCCAGCAATTCATCTCCATCATTCATCATGTAAGATGGCGGGTATGTAGGCCTTTGCGAATAACACAATTTTAAGAAGACAGGCCCTACCATTTTTTTACAGTAACTTAATGCAAGTTATTAGTGGGATTGAAAAACATAACATGACAA